TTTTCAGATGGCTTGCTAGGCATGCGCCTTCGGATGATGCTCCTTTTCCTCTTCCTCCTGCTCAGCCCCAGAGCTTTCAGGATCGCAGGGCAATGGGGCGCCTTCTCCTCCAGCTCCGCCGCCTGAGCTCCATGGCTGTAAGTAGGCAGGAAGGCGGGGGGAGGGAGACACCAGAGATCCTCCTTTTCCCGGACAGGCCCTCCCTTCCAGCCTTCTCTGCCCAGAAGGAATTCCCAAAGGCCCTCCGTTTTAGGGAGGACTAAGAAGCAGCAACAATTGACATTTCTAGTTCTGGGCTTTGATTGGGAAAATGTCCTCCCTTTTCCCCCTGCCTGCCCTCCATTTGGAACAGGACTCAGAAGCTTGGATTTATATTTATATTAGTGTGGGGTTTCTTTTAGCTTTTATTGGGAAATGTCCTCCCTTTTTCCTGCATGTCCTCCATTTGGAGCAAGACTAAGAAGCATGCCTTTATATTTATATTAGTGTGATGTTTTCTTAGCTTTTATTGGGGAATAGCCTCCCCTTTTCTTCCCTATCCTCCATTTTAGGCAGGACTAAGAAGCATGCATTTATATTTATATTTATATTTATATTTATATTAGTGTGTTTTAACTTTGATTGGGAAATTTTCTCCCTTTTTTCCTGCATGTCCTCCATTTGGAGCAGGACTAAGAAGCAGGCATTACTATTTATATTAGTGACTGTTAGCTTTTATTGGGAAATGTCCTCCCTTTTTCCTGCATGTCCTCCATTTGGAGCAGACCTAAGAAGCAGGAATGGACATTTTGAGGAACATTTTGAGCTTGTATTGTGGGAAGTCCTCCCTTTTTCTTGCCTATCCTCCATTTTGTGGGGCCTTGTCCTCCTCTGCGAGGAGGACCTCTGGTCACTCTGGGAGAGGATCTTTTCCATCAGAGGTGGCTGTGACTGAGGGGGAGATATGTGCTTTTCGGGGGGGCATCATTCCCCCCAATACCTTGCCTGGCTGGTGGAGTTGCATGATGCCCTCTATCCACAGGCTGCCCCCAAACCCTGGGATGCTTACCCTCTTTGGAGGATGCTCTTGAGGAGTGCCAAAAAGGGAATGCATAGGGTTTTTTTTGGGGGGGGGTCCAGAGGCTTGCCAGACCCTTTCCTCTTGGTGGCTTTACCTTTGTTGTTGTTCTTGTGTGCCTTCAAGTCACTAATGGTGACTCTAAGATGGATCTTTTTTTGCCAAGATTTGTTCAGAGGGTGTTTACCATGGCCATCTTCTGAAGCTGAGAAAGTGTGACTTGCCTTAGTTGTTGTTGTTGGGTGCTTTCAAGTCATTTCCAGCTTCTAGAGAACCTATCCTGGGGTTTTCTTGGCAAGGTTTGTTCAGATCCTCTGAGGCTGAGAAAGTGGGACTTTTGCTAGTTGTTATTGGGTGCCTTCAAGTTGTTTCCAACTTATGGCAACCCTAAAGTGGCCCTATCATGGGGTTTTCTTGGCAAGATTTGTTCAGAGGAGGTTTGCCATTGCCTCCCCCTGAGGCTGAGAGAGTGTGACTTGCCCAGGTTCACCCAGTGCTTTTCATGGTCAAGCAGGAAATTGAATCCTGGTCTCCAGAGTTGTGGTCCAATGTTCCAACCACTAGGCCAGGCTGGCTCTAGGCTTTGCCTTTGCACACAGCCTCCCCCCCCCCAAAAAAAAAACTGCTGCATGAAGCGTGGGAGTGTAAAGAGTGCAGGGGCACCCATGACCTTGATGCAATAGACAAGAGGGTAGGCCTTCTGGGAGAAAGTTGGAGGTTTGGGTTATAACTCCGAGAATCCCCATGACCCTGCTGGTTGAGGGATTATGGGAGCTGTTGTTGTTGTTTGCCTTCAAGTCAGTTACAACTTATGGTGACTCTAAGTTGAACCTTTAGCAGTTTTCTGTGCAAGATTTGCTCAGAGGGGTGTACCTTTGCCTTGCTCAGCAGTTGAGAGTCTGGCTTGCCCAAGATCCCCCAGTCAGTGTCCATGTCTGGGTGGGGATTTGAACCCTGGTCTCCAAAGTCCTACTCTAACACTCAGACCATTACACCATGCTGGCTCACTATTCTGGGAGTCATTGTTGTGTGCCTTTCAGTCATTTCTGACTTATGGCACCTCTAAAGTGACCCTATCACAGGGTTTTCTTAGCAAGATTTGTTCAGAGGGGATGTCCTCTGAGGCTGAGAGAGT